TAAACTATTTCAAACTTAAAGTAAAGATCTACTTGGCCGATTGAACTGAAACTTTGTAGGAATGATCGAATCATGGTCCTGACAAAGTGTTGTTATTTTTCGGGTCAATCAGAAATACAATTTGGCTGCCATGGCTGCTATTTTGCTACTAAGTTCTAATAGGCCGATCTCACTTAAAATTGGTCTAGGAATGATCAGCTCATGGTCCTGACAAAGTTAAGTTAACATTATACTATTTTTTACTCAAATTGGTACATATTTCAGCAACAAAAATAAATACTGTAGACTCAGGTGACCGTTTAGGCCCATGGGCCTCTTGTTTTATGTCCATGCCAATTAATTGGGGTGGGCCCAGGGGGGGTGGGGCAGGAGCTAGGATACATTGTTACTAATGTTCGACACCTGGCTCAGTCACATCATGGTATGTTCCATCCTGATTCAATGTCATCTGGAGACTTCATTTCTTAATACATTCTATTTTAACTCTATACAGAAATAAAGTTGAGAGTATGGCCAGACCTCAGAGGAGTTGACATTTAAATCATAAAATGTCCCCCAAGGACAAAGTGACCATTACTCAAGTATTGAAGATATTTGTTAACCAATTCAGTGTTTTCAGGCTTTCAACTTCATTTCCATTTTACAGATTTTATAGAAGGTCAACAATATCTAAGATAGGGTCTAGTCCAAGGTCATTTTTACTATTTATATAATTTTTTACCAGTGCCATGCAATGCATTAGGTATATATAATAATCCAGCAACTTCAAACAAATTTTGATCAGACTATAGCTATATACCTTGAGGCTTGAGTATGAGAATACTTAAATTTAGTGTCACTTCATTTCTCAAAATAAAAATGCCAGGTACGTTTAAGTATGAAAATATCTCAGATGATTTCATGTCTCGGAGTTCAAAGATCAAAAGCAAGGTAGTCGTATGCCAACCAATTCAGTGTCATCACTCTAGTGACTTCTTGAATTCCTTGGAGTCGGGACACATTTAATTAAAAATCAACATTACTTTAGTATTAACAGAAAATTATTGAAAAAAGAAAATAATTTGCATTGGTGTTGAGGCATTCATGTTTCACAGATGTTTTAACTCATTCACCCCTGAAGACACATTTGAACTCTTCCATTTCAAAGGTTTGAATAGTTCACTATGGAATTTCAGGGGTTAATGAGTTAATGAACTAGTAAAAGTATCAATACTGTTACCAAAATTAGAGAGTTTGTTATCTTTAGTTTACAAGCTATGTCATGCATTTCTCATAGATAGATAAAACCTTCTTACAATCACATAAAATATCAAAAAAACTAACACACCTACACTGATATTTAAATTTGTTGATTTTAAAGATTAAAAATAAATCTAATTTTACTCAGATTTAACTTTTACACATGAGACACAACTGTATAATTTTTATCTTTCAAATACTTATTCTTGGTTAATATTTATATTTACACATTGAGGGACATTCATATCAAAACATTTCAGGGTTGATGTATATATATAGATAGTAAAAGTATTGATTTTTCCATGTTTATTGGCGGCTGTTCTAAGAGTAAATTTGCACTTGGTAATCTTGTACAGTGAATGGGCATAATACTGAATAGAAAAAAAAATCTTGTTTTACTTATCAAGGCCATATAAAAACTACCAGAGATAATCGTAATGAGAGTTATATGTTATGTACTTAGCTCAGTGTGTGCAAATTCAGCAGTAACCAGATAGCCCCCCTGGCTCTGAAAATGTTTTTGTTTTAGATAATGATTAAATTTATTACATTTTTGCCAGTGAAATATCGGATTCTATCAACTTGATGAAACTGATATCTTTCACACTGTGACAGAAATCAAAAGTGATATTTTCACAGTGTGAAAATAATATCACTTTTTAGTATTGCCCAATCAAAACAGTATCTTCTATTCACTGCATTCAAAAATTAAAGGCAACAATTTTTTGTTCAGATTCAAATGAAGCGACGGTAGAATAAGTGGTTGTTATGGTAAATGTTTGGTGCACACACTTAAGTATTTACATATTTATACCAGAAATGACATTTTTATAAGCAATCATACCAGAAAATAGCAGAAAATGTGGGAATTGCGTTGAGAATCCCATTCAGAATGGCGCGTTGCCTTGTTGTCAAGTGTGACGTCATTAGAATATGGCGCTAATTACGTATACACTTCTCATTCCCGCCCTTTTTTAATGCATTACATGTTTCATGTTTTATGCTTTAAAAATGTAATAAATAGAAAATTCAATGGTGTCTTCAGTAAAAACCAATATGTTTCACTCGTGTGGATAATATTTTGATATTTTTCACTCATGCTGTGCACTTGTGAAAAAATATCAATTTTTTCACCACACTCGTGAAATATGTTATTACTGAAGACACCATTAAATATCCTATATATATACCATACATTTTCACTTGTTGCTTTAATGCAACTATTCTCAAGACAAGGACTATACAATAGTCGCAATTAATACTTCTGTCGGCCACATAGGTGATGTCGTCAGGATGATCCTTTGAGAAAACTGTAAATGTTGCTGAAAACTGTAAATGTTACTGAAAACTGTAAATGTTACTGAAAACTATAAATGTTACTGAAAACTGTTCTTCCAGCATGGCTAAAGCTTTGATAAATCATTTCTAAAAGAAAACTGAAGATTGCAGGACTTTGAAAAAAAAAAAATTAACAAGGAAATAAACAAAATACAATCAACAACAGTGTTCTGGGTGTACAGTTCTGTAGGGTCTAGGCTGGGATTTGTGCAGTGTTCTGGGTGTACAGTTCTGTAGGGTCTAGGCTGGGCTTTGTACAGTGTTCTGGGTGTACAGTTCTGTAGGGGCTAGGCTGGGATTTGTACAGTGTTCTGGGTGTATAGTTCTGTAGGGTCTAGGCTGGGATTTGTACAGCGTTCTGGGTGTACAGTTCTGTAGGGTCTAGGCTGGGCTTTGTACAGTGTTCTGGGTGTACAGTTCTGTAGGGTCTAGGCTGTGATTTGTACAGTGTTCTGGGTGTACAGTTCTGTAGGGTCTAGGCTGGGATTTGAGTTGCTAATATCCTTTCAAAAAGAGAAAAACATCCCACGCCCCTGCAAAAAAAACTCACTTTCTTTAAATATGACTAACCAGACAGTTGTCAACATCAAAATAAGACCAAACAACAGGAAAAGAAATTGAGGAATATATTAATTATATAGAAACTATTAATTATTTGTAAAATATACATATGCACATGATACTGCAGTGATGAAAAATAGAGCTAAATGGAAAATCTTAACACATAGATGTATCTGAGCTAAAAGTGAAGTGAGGTGAAAAATATATATAGGTCACCATGACCTACATTTGTTAGATTGGTATAATATTCCTTCAGATATATCCACATATGAATTAAGTTTGATTGATGGCTGTTGAACTTTTTAAATGTGTAAGAGTTATGGAGCTATAAGCATTAAGTATTCCAAAAATTCAAGGCAAGCACTATATGCCCCTTCCACCATGTGACAGCTGGGCCCGAACAAATGAGGATTTTCTTGTTATGAACATACATATATATTTATTATTGCAAACAACTTACATCAACAACTGACGGTAAGGGAGAAAATAATTTAAATCAATATGGTTCTATTTCCCTTTTTTCAGGTTGTTTCCGGCATGAACTATGACCTTCACTTGAGGATGTCAAATGGAGCAGTAACGGTTTGTATCCTTAAATGAGTTTGCTTCCTCATCCATTTATTTTTATTTGGCACATTTTGTAGAAAGGTATAGTTCTTACTGTTTACTGAATGGAATTTACATCTGTCTAATGAAGGTACATAATTGTCACATTAAAAAAAAAATAACCACCTATATTGGGTACTTAGGTGAAAATGTTGCTTTAATTGGGAAATATATATCATTGCATTGCAATACTAATTATATACCAGAGAATATAGCGAGATAAATAAACACGTACTCTTTACACACATGTATTATGGAATCTGTCTTGTGGCTTATGTTGTTGTTTTTCTTCAACCGTAACCAGGTACATATCTCAATAGTGGTTATTTTATTTTATTGCTATTTTTTAAAGAAGATTTTCATTGATATCGTTCTCTGATCAAAAATAAAGAGAAGCTAGGTATGTGAAGTTTTAAATTAAGTTTTTTTCCTATCCCAGGTAAATTAAAAAAAAAAAAAAACAACAACATTGAAGTATATAGATACATACTTCCTCGATATCCTGGAGTAATGCTCACTAATACGCTCTCTGCACCCCTGGAATATGTCATAGAAAATTGAAGACACAAAGATAGATGTTTCATTGGTCTCATGTAAAAAAAAACTGACCAATCGCTAGGCTGATATACCTGTCCTTCAAAAATTGCAAATGGGCGACCCCCAACTTCAAAGTCGGTCAAATTTTACCGTTACGTGACCGCAAGATTCTGTTGATGTACATCAAAGGATCTTCTTGTCTCATCAACAAGGTGGCTCACACTGAGCCTTCAATTTTGCTATGACAATCTTCCAGGGGTGCAGAGAGCGTAAGTGAGCGTAACCCCTGGATATCGAGGATGAGTCCAGGGGTGCAGAGAGCGTAAGTGAGCGTAACCCCTGGATATCAAAGATGCTATAGATGTATTTGTCGTTCTTACATCAAAATGTAAGAAAATAAATATGATAAAGAAATGAACAAAATTATTGTGATGTGTCAATTGTTCTTTTTCAGCAAATGTGTGATGTGGTCATTTACGTCCAACCTTGGACCAACACCAAGCGTGTTGATACCCAGGTTTGCCACCCTGTCACCAAAAGAGGTAATGTGTTGGTTAGATACCTAGGTCATTTGTTCAAAGTTTTAACAGAAAATATCATATACATAGAAATGGCAGTTACTGCTTTTCTGAGAGCAGAAATGTGGGCCAAATACAGACATTTTCATCCGATTTACTAAAAACAAATTGACTTCCCAACATTATTCCGGCTGATTTTGACAAAATGTTTTACAAATAATTTTCTTATGGCCGAGACCATGCTTTGTTATTTTCGGGATCATTAACTATTTGTATAAAGTTTGAGGAAGAGCTAGCCATATTCTGTTATTTATTGAAGTGGTTGACTTGGTATAAATACTTAAAAATAACATATACAAAGGTACTATAGAGGTGTTCATTTTGGGGGTGTAAAATGTTGTACATTTTAATAATTAGATGACTCATCTACAGACAATAACATGATTCTATCTATTCATAAAAATGTGTGATGTGGTCATTAATTGATGCTACTCATTTAAACCTGATGCTTGTCATTAATTAGCTCATCTGGCCTAAGAGGCCAAGTGAGCTTAAGTTGTAGCGCAGCATCCGTCTTCTGTCCATCTGTCATCAAGTTTTCCTTGCAAATCCCAAACGGCCTACAGTCATGATATTTGGCTGGTAGCTTCCTTGGATGTAGTCCGACAAAGGCTGCGAACAAAAATTACCTTCACCCACTTTCAAGGTCACAGAAGTCAAATATGTTTAAAACTTCAACCAAGTTCTTCTGGAAAACTAAAAGGCCCAGAGTTGTGATATAATGCTGGTAGATTCCTTTGATAAAGCCCAACAAAGTGTGCAAACAAAAGTGACTTTCAAGGTCACAGGGCTCAAATATGTCAAAAATTTCAAATGACTTCTTCTAAAGAACCAAAGGTCTAGAGTCATGTAGCTATCTAGGATAAGAGTCTTACATTTTTTGCAAAACAACGAAAGACCTTGACCAACATTCAAGGTCAAAGGGGTCAAATATGATTATCATTTTAAAATGACATATTCTGAAGAATCAAAAGGCCTATGGTCATGATATTTTGCTGTTAGATTCCTGAGAGAGCCTAACAAAATTCGTGAACAAAATGACCTTGAATTACTTTCAAGGTTGCATAGGTCAAATATTTTAAAAAACTTCAAACAACTTCTTTTGAAGAGCTAAAAGGTCTAGAGTCATGATATTTGGTTTGTAGTTTTGCGAAATAGGGCCTTACAACATCTGCGAATAAAAATGATATGATTTGTTTATAAATGTTTTTTGTATGTACATGGTGTAAGTCATTTTTAATGTCACACATTTGTACCCACAGTGCTGTTTATTATTTTTCAGCTGGAGGATATGAGGAACATTCTGTAGATGCTGAAGTCATGATGATGGCCAACTTTGCTCTGAACAAAATGAATGTGCTACTTAAACAATCCAATAGTTTGGTCAGAGTTGTATCTGCTAGTACCCAGGTAATTTAGTCTTGTAAACCTGCTTTATACCATACAATAGACTCCCCAGGAAGCTTGGCATCTTTTAGTACTGTGGATTTTTTTGTATGCTGCTCTTACAATAAACCAGCGAAAAAAATAGGGATTTTGAAACGGATATTACAAGAAGGATTAATGCTTAAACAATTATTGTAAGATTGTCCTTGTTGTGTTAAGCATTTATGTTATTGATAATTTCCGTAAAAAGCAAAAAAGAGGGTTGCATTCAAAATGAGTCATTTCAGGGTTAAAGTACGCTAATCAGTATGTTTACTAACGCAAACTCAAAAAAATATACTAAACCTAGAAAATCTGATGTTTGTACCCTACTTAAGACGTGAGCTTAGTTTTCGGCCAAAAGCTCCATTTTTGGTACACAATGACAATAAAAATGAGTTAAAGAAAATTTTAAATTGAAAAAAACATTTGAAATATGTTTTCCTTGTTTTACAGGTTGTTGCCGGTACAAACTACAAGTTAAGACTGGAACTTGATCAGAATGTAAGCAAACAAGTATTCTTCTTGTCAGCAAAGATTTTACAACATCCCTCCTTGAATCTCAAATTCTGTAATATATAAATATGTGCCATCTTCATTATTAATGCGTTGGGCCTAAATGTTGTCTAGAGATACGTAATTTTGATGACAATTATTACACTGTGTCTATCCTGTCTTAATTATTTAGAGTGGAAATCCGTCTTTTTCAAAAAACCGTTAAGATTTGTTTTACGAATTTGTATCTGAAGTACAAATGTTTTACTTTAAAACAAAAAAGCCTCTAACCAAGAAACAAAAATCCTTAAAAAAATCCCAAATTTCCAAGGATCTAGAGGTCAATTCATGTAATAAACGCCTGTTTGTAAATTATATTACAAAGTTGTGATATGATAGTATAGGGATTTTTTTGAGAAATAATATTTGTTATTCATGTTTATAGAAATTCTGTGATGTTGTGGTATTCAACCAACCCTGGACCCAAACGACCCAGCTGACCAGTAACTCGTGTGACTCAACCAAGAGACAGCTGGGTGCCCCCCATGCTATCAGCAGCAGTGACATACATGTTCAGGAAGTTTTCACCCAAGCCATCGAATTGGCCAACGGAATGTCCAACAACATGTACCGATTGTCTGCTGTTTCCATTCAACATGTTACCAAGCAGGTGAGCTGATAGCAATGTACCTGTTAAATCATAATTGACGGATTAGTAAAGTTAACACATGTGTGGGGCTTGTTAAAATAGTCAGAATGTGTTTATTGAATGCGTTTATGTTAGGTTGAAACTGATATTGAGGAGAGACAGTTATTTTATGTTTGTGTTTCAGGATGTAGCAGGTACAATATTGAGGAGAGCGGGTACAATATTGATGATAGAAAGATATTTCATGTTTATATTTCAGGTTGTAGCGGGTACAATATTGAGGAGAGAAAGATATTTCATGTCTATATTTCAGGTTGTAGCGGGTACAATATTGAGGAGATAAAGCTATTTCATGTTTATATTTCAGGTTGTAGCAGGTACAATATTGAGGAGAGAAAAATATTTCATGTTTATATTTCAGGTTGTAGCGGGTACAATATTGAGGAGAGAAAGATATTTCATGTCTATATTTCAGGTTGTAGCGGGCACAATATTGAGGAGATAAAGCTATTTCATGTTTATATTTCAGGTTGTAGCAGTTAGGATATTGAGGAGATAAAGATATTTCATGTTTATATTTTAGGTTGTAGCAGTTAGGATATTGAGGAGAGAAAGATATTTCATGTTTATATTTCAGGTTGTAGCGGGTACAATATTGAGGGGATAAAGCTATTTCATGTTTATATTTCAGGTTGTAGCGGGGACAATATTGAGGAGATAAAGCTATTTCATGTTTATATTTCAGGTTGTAGCTGGTACAATATTGAGGAGATAAAGCTATTTCATGTTTATATTTCATGTTGTAGCGGGTACAATATTGAGGAGATAAAGCTATTTCATGTTTGTGCTTTAGGTTGTTGCTGGTATGAAGTATGAATTTGACATGATGATGGGAGAATCTTCCTGCAGGAATAACGGAGAAAGCAAGGGGCTGACCGCTGTCAATTGTCCAGTTAAAAGTGGAGGAATGGTTAGTAAATCACAATTGTTAAATATACGAAATTGAAATCATTGCAACCACAATTTAACTTCTAATGTATCTCAGTTATCTTATTAAGAATTAAATGAAAATAAATTTCCGTTTGGAAAACTAGAGGGATATTTTAACACAGTTTATTTTGGACTTATTATCGCTCAGGGGTTTGTCTAACTTTTTGAAAACATCATAAAGACTTTTTCACTTCATTCTATTAATAGTAAATCTGCAACACTGTTCTGTCAAATTGTGTAAATTAAATTTTCAGATTATTCTTTTCAAAATGATTTTAAATACATTGTACATTTCTTGGTTAAGCTGTGTAAATTTGTAAGCATGGAGAGTAGATTTGAAGAAAATATTGTATGCAAGGTTAATTCCATCAAACATTAAAAATCAGTAAAAAAAAATACATGTATTACCATTGGGAAATGTGAAAGAAACTGTTTCTATACTGCATTAGAATATCGTAATTATTTCTCAGTCTGCAAATTCAATATTGTTGGCATTTGATTGGCAATCTTGAAATTCTTTCACCAAGGATGATGTCTTTCACTTTTCAAAATTCCATATAATTAGCATCTGTCATTCTTGGATTTTCTTAACTGAATGAGAACATTCAGTCAATGAATATATGTTGAAATTGTTTTTCAGTCTACAACATTCCATGTTGTTGGCATCTGGCAATCGTGGACGACCCCAGAATACCACGTCACAGTCACTCCAGTGGTACGTACCCTTACATACTACAGTCTAACTTCTCTGGTGTGGTATTGACATGATACAGTCTAACTTCTCTTGTGTAGTAGTGACATGTTACAGTCTAACTACTCTGGTGTAGTAGTGACATGTTACAGTCTAACTTCTCTAGTGTAGTAGTGACATGTTACAGTCTAACTTCTCTGGTGTGGTATTGACATGTTACAGTCTAACTTCGCTGGTGTAGTAGTGACATGTTACAGTCTAACTTCTCTGGTGTGGTATTGACATGTTACAGTCTAACTTCGCTGGTGTAATAGTGACATGTTACAGTCTAACTTCTCTGGTGTGGTATTGACATGATACAGTCTAACTGCTCTGGTGTAGTATTGACATGCTACAGTCTAACTTCTCTGGTGTAGTATTGACATGTTACAGTTTAACGACTCTGGTGTAGTAGTGACATGTTACAGTCTAACTACTCTGGTGTAGTAGTGACATGATAAAGTCTAACTACTCTGGTGTAGTAGTGACATGATACAGTCTAACTTCTCTGGTGTAGTAGTGACATGCTACAGTCTAACTACTCTGGTGTAGTATTGACATGATACAGTCTACCTACTCTGGTGTAGTAGTGACATGATACAGTCTAACTTCTCTGGTGTAGTATTGACATGCTACAGTCTAACTACTCTGGGGTGGTATTGACATGTTACAGTCTAACTTCGCTGGTGTAATAGTGACATGTTACAGTCTAACTTCTCTGGTGTGGTATTGACATGATACAGTCTAACTGCTCTGGTGTAGTATTGACATGCTACAGTCTAACTTCTCTGGTGTAGTATTGACATGTTACAGTTTAACTACTCTGGTGTAGTAGTGACATGATACAGTTTAACTTCTCTGGTTTAATAGTGACATGATACAGTCTAACTACTCTGGTGTAGTATTGACATGATACAGGCTTACTACTCTGGTGTAGTATTGACATGCTACAGTCTAACTTCTCTGGTGTAGTATTGACATGTTACAGTTTAACGACTCTGGTGTAGTAGTGACATGTTACAGTCTAACTACTCTGGTGTAGTAGTGACATGACACAGTCTAACTACTCTGGTGTAGTAGTGACATGATAAAGTCTAACTACTCTGGTGTAGTAGTGACATGATACAGTCTAACTACTATGGTGTAGTAGTGACATGCAACAGTCTAACTACTCTGGTATAGTAGTGACATGACACAGTCTAACTACTCTGGTGTAGTAGTGACATGCTACAGTCTAACTACTCTGGTGTGGTATTGACATGTTACAGTCTAACTTCTCTGGTGTAGTAGTGACATGTTACAGTCTAACTTCTCTGGTGTGGTATTTACATGATACAGTTTAACTTCTCTGGTTTAGTAGTTACAGTCTAACTACTCTGGTGTAGTCGTGACATGCTACAGTCTAACTACTCAGGTGTAGTATTGACATGATACAGTCTTACCTACTCTGGTGTAGTAGTGACATGCTACAGTCTAACTATTCTGGTGTATTATGGACATGATACAGTCTTACTACTCTGGCGTAGTAGTGACATGCTACAGTCTAAATATTCTGGTTTAGTATTGACATGATACAGTCTTACCACTCTGGTGTAGTAGTGACATGCTACAGTCTAAATATTCTGGTTTAGTATTGACATGATACAGTCTTACCACTCTGGTGTAGTAGTGACATGCTATAGTCTAACTATTCTGGTGTAGTATTGACATAATACAGTCTAACTACTCTGGTGTAGTAGGGACATGCAACAGTCTAACTACTCTGGTATATTATTGACATGCTACAGTCTAACTACTCCGGTGTAGTATTGACATAATACAGTCTTACTACTCTGGTGTAGTATTGACATGATGCAGTCTAACTACTCTGGTGTAGTATTAACATTGTACAGTCTAACTACTCTGGTGTAGTCGTGACATGCTACAGTCTAACTACTCAGGTGTAGTATTGACATGATACAGTCTAACTACTTAGTATTGACATGATACAGTCTAACTACTCTGGCGTAGTAGTGACATGATACAGTCGAACTCCTCTGGTGTAGTATTGACATGATACAGTCTAACTACTCTGGCGTAGTAGTGACATGCTACAGTCTAACTATTCTGGTGTAGTGTTGACATGATACAGTCTAACTACTCTGGCGTAGTAGTGACATGCTACAGTCTAACTTCTCTGGTGTAGTAGTGACATGCTACAGTCTAACTTCTCTGGTGTAGTATTGATATGATACAGTCTAACTACTCTGGTGCAGTATTGACATGATACAGTCTTACTTCTCTGGTGTAGTAGTGACATGATACAGTAGAACTACTCTGGTGTAGTATTGACATGCAACAGTCTAACTACTCTGGTATATTATTGACATGCTACAGTCTAACTACTCCGGTGTAGTATTGACATGATACAGTCTAACTACTTAGTATTGACATGATACAGTCTAACTGCTCTGGTGTAGTAGTGACATGATACCGTCTAACTACTCCGGTGTAGTATTGACATGATACAGTCTAACTACTCTGGTGTAGTAGTGACATGCAACAGTCTAACTACTCTGGTATAGTATTGACATGCTACAGTCTAACTACTCCGGTGTAGTATTGACATGATACAGTCTAACTACTCTGGTGTAGTAGTGACATGCAACAGTATAACTACTCTGGTATAGTATTGACATGCTACAGTCTAACTATTCTGGTGTAGTATTGACATGATACCGTCTAACTACTCTGGTGTAGTAGTGACATGATACAGTCTAACTACTCCGGTGTAGTATTGACATGAAACAGTCTAATTACTCTGGTGTTGTAGTGACATGCTACAGTCTAACTACTCTGGTGTAGTAGTGACATGATACAGTCTAACTACTCCGGTGTAGTATTGACATGAAACAGTCTAATTACTCGGGTGTTGTAGTGACATGCTACAGTCTTACTACTCTGGTGTAGTATTGACAGTCTACAGTCTAACTACTCTGGTGTAGTAGTGACATGATACAGTCTAATTTCTCTGGTGTAGTATTGACATGATACAGTCTAACTACTCTGGTATAGTATTGACAGGCTACAGTCTAACTACTCTGGTGTAGTATTGACATGATACAGTCTTACTACTCTGGTGTAGTATTGACATGCTACAGTCTAACTACTCTGGTGTATTAGTGACATGATACAGTCTAACTACTCTGGTGTAGAATTGACATGACACAGTCTAACTACTCTGGTGTAGTATTGACATGATACAGACTAACTACTCTGGTGTAGTAGTGACATGATACAGTCTAAATTCTCTGGTGTAGTATTGACATGATACAGTCTAACTTCTCTGGTGTAGTATTGACAGGCTACAGTCTAACTACTCTGGTGTAGGATTGACATGCAACAGTCTAACTACTCTGGTGTAGTAGTGACATGATACAGTCAAACTACTCTGGTGTAGTATTGACATGATACAGTCTTACTACTCTGGTGTAGTAGTGACATGCTACAGTCTAACTATTCTGGTGTAGTATTGACATGATACAGTCTTACTACTCTGGTGTAGTATTGACATGATACAGTCTTACTACTCTGGTGTAGTATTGACATGATACAGTCTTACTACTCTGGTGTAGTAGTGACATGCTACAGTCTAACTATTCTGGTGTAGTATTGACATGATACAGTCTTACTACTCTGGTGTAGTATTGACATGATACAGTCTTACTACTCTGGTGTAGTATTGACATGATACAGTCTAACTTCTCTGGTGTAGTATTGACATGCTACAGTCTAACTACTCTGGTGTATTAGTGACATGATACAGTCTAACTACTCTGGTGTAGAATTGACATGACACAGTCTAACTACTCTGGTGTAGTATTGACATGATTCAGTCTAACTACTCTGGTGTAGTAGTGACATGATACAGTCTAATTTCTCTGGTGTAGTATTGACATGATACAGTCTAACTTCTCTGGTGTAGTATTGACAGGCTACAGTCTAACTACTCCGGTGTAGTATTGACATGATACAGTCTAACTACTCTGGTATAGTATTGACAGGCTACGGTCTAACTACTCTGGTGTAGTATTGACATGATACAGTCTAACTTCTCTGGTGTAGTATTGACATGCTACAGTCTAACTACTCTGGTGTAGTAGTGACATGATACAGTCTAATTTCTCTGGTGTAGTATTGACATGATATAGTCTAACTACTCTGGTATAGTATTGACAGGCTACAGTCTACTCTGGTGTAGTATTGACAAGCTACAGTCTAACTACTCTGGTGTAGTAGTGACATGATACAGTCTAACTACTCTGGTGTAGTATTGACATGATTCAGTCTAACTACTCTGGTGTAGTAGTGACATGACACAGTCTACCTCCTCTGGTGTAGTATTGACATGATACAGACTAACTACTCTGGTGTAGTAGTGACATGATACAGTCTAACTACTCTGGTGTAGTATTGACATACTGCAGCCTACATTTAGGTCTCTGTATCTGATTTATTTTTTATCTCACTTTTTGCTTGCTGTTTTGATAGATATCTTTTTTAATGGGCTTCTTTTTTATATTGATGTCTCTTTTGCTTTGGATGTTGTCGGTTTTTTTTCCAACATTGCGGTGAGATTTCACACGTTCTTTGTCACAGATAATTGGTGAACTTTGCATGTGTGTAACTCATGGGATGTCGGAGTGTTGCATATTGAAAATATATCTCATGCTCCAATATATACAGAGCTATGGCCCATTGTTCACTGTGTGTCATATTTTTAAGGGCATTTATTATATATCTGAGTTCCTCTTTTTGAGCGCTGCATACCCTGGTACTCGTACTCACAGGCAAGCACACCAACCTACCCTGTCTCCTGCATACACACACACAAGCACACCCACACTACACACATGAAGGGACGTCTTTTAATGACTTAGCTGTTAATAGGATGTTAACGAAAACAAAATCAAACCAAACCATGCCCCATTATTGAATAAGGACTC